ATTCTAAAGGAACTGCATGTTAATGAGCATGTTTGTTGGGCACTTTTGCTGTGAAGAACTCACACAATATGGAGTTGTTGTTTTTTTTCTCTTCCCTCTCCATCCTTTTTTCCTTTTGTGGTCTGTTCAATTTTAAATTCAGAAAAAAAGGTTTTCATTTACTTGATTATATTTTCCCATAACCAGCTAAACCAGCAGCAAATAGGGCCAGTAGGGCTTACTTTAGTGCAATGCATGGATTCCGTCCCAATTGCTCACTTGTTGACTCCATTCACACATTGCCCTGTATGAGTTGTTATTTTCAGCCTAATGTTTTGCATAAAGCAGACAGCTGGCATCACATGAGCTAGACGTATAGATCAATTACTATCTAGGGATAGCAAGAGTTTTTAATGCTAGTGGGGAAAGTAGGCAAGAATAGAGCAGCAAATAAAACATTTAAGCATTTGGAAGGGAAACAAAAAACAAAAACAGCAAGACCGAAACATTTCCATCCACTTTAATTTTATCCCATCTGGGAGATTTTAAACTTTGGATAATTTCAGCTATAACTTATGTATTTAATTATTAGTATTTTAACAAATATTTAATAGCACAACTGTGAAGAAAGGTAGAAAAAGGAACCAAAAAGAAATAAAGAAGAATTTATATGCTGGGTATACTTGAATAAAAATTTTCAAAATGACATTAGGTCAACACTTCATATAAAATAACCATAACTGTTATTGGAATCAAATCAATGATCAATAATTGGCAAAAGTAACTAATATGTAAGATTCATCAGACTAAACAATTAAAATGTCTATCATATTTTAGAGATCCCTCCTTATAAGTAAACAAATTAAAGCTAATATTTTAAAACCTTGTTTTAAGAGAATCCTGGTGTTCAGATATAATACAACTTTAACATGTGTGGATTTCAGCTTCCAGAATTACCCAGCCTGGCTGGAGAATTCTGGGAGTTGAAATCTACACATCTTAAAATTGCCCAGGTTGTGAAACACTGGTTTTACCATGTTTGGTCTAATGGTTAAGGCACCATGCTAGAAAGCATGGCATGAGTTCAAGTCCTGCCTTGAGCAAAAAGTTTCTCTCTCACTGCAGGCTAACAAGTCCGTCCGGCAGGGAGATTAATAGTTGTCTGCCACACCTATTCATCTCCACCCCCTGCCTTTTATCCCCAGAGCTAGGGTGGAGCTTCGCTAGCAGTGGTGGCTCTTCCGTCCCAAGGATCGGCCCACAGATTTCCACTGCTCTCCTCTCCTCTGCCTTCTGTGCATCCACGCGTCAGGCACTGGACCCAGCTGTTCCTCCTCTTTCTCATCAGCCACTTCCAGACCTGGGGGCTGTTGATTCTCCATCTCGGGACTGACGGAAGGCCCAGGCTCTGCCTCTGTGTCTCTCTCTAACAGCTCCATTCCCTTTTCCCCCTCAGAGCATTTAGGTTGCCTTGATGCTGGCCCTGACTCCCACACCTCCTCCTCCTCCTCCTCCTCCTCCTCTGATTTGGCTGCTGGAGGGGCTGGCAGCCGACAGGGCCACAACACAGTCTCCCTCAACCTAACCCACCTCACAGGATTGTTACTGTGGGGAAAATAGGAGGAGGAAGATGGGGGGATATATTTGCCTCCTTGAGTTATTTTTAAAAATAATAAAGGCAGGATATAAAAAAATAAATATCTCTCCAATCATCACTGAGAAGTTTACAGTCCTATAACTCAAATAAGTAATTGATATTAACACGAGCATATTAAGAGTCAAATAGTCTTGTGCTGAGGAACTCTAAAAGCTAATATAATTAGCACCTATACACAGGAGGCATCTCCTTCAATTTATTTCTCTCCCAGATTTTGATTGCTTTCCTAAGTGCCAGTAACATTTGGGCAAGCTGGCTCTCCAGGCGAGTGCTATTCCAGAGAAAAGGGGGCAGCCATCGAGACTCTGGATAGGGCTGGGATTAAGGGAGCAGTTTAGTTTTTTTCTATGAGATTACTATTTTATGGCTTAGCCTTACACGATAGTTTTCATGTGTTTCCCAAAGAAAAAAAAGGCAAGGAACTATACAATCAGTTTTCAACAATCCCATTCAAAGAGCCCATTGCTGTTTCTGGTCTGGATGATCACTGGGAATAACAAGAAGGTACTTCTAATTCTTTGCATATACTTAGTGATCACCTGAAATTTTGCAAGTCCAGATGTCACAACCTTCTTGGAAGGTCTTGGAAGAAGTTTATGAAATCAGAGATTCTCCTGGGTTAGGACAATGTGGAAGAAATGTATTTTGTATATAGAGCACCTTGGTTATGCTTCTGTCTTAACCAAACAGATTAAGGTACAGGACAACGGAGTACTTTTTTCCTGCTGTACGGTGATGGAGTTTACATCCAGGTTTAGCTTGTTTAATGCAAAGGCTGTTCATTTTGTCTAGAATTGTTTCTCTATATTTTCCAACAAAATCTGTTCTGTGCTTGAGTTTCGTTTGCTACATGTTAATCAAAACACTTGGTATATGCACAAACACATATGTCTCCATCTTCCCTATTAACCTTGATGTCCAGGATTGTAAAAGGAGAAAAACATAATTCAGAATGCAAAATTTTACAAATGATACTCTTTACCTGAGCATTTTTTTGAGTGAACAAAGGCATGGCCTTTTCAGAAACAGATTATTTTTGATGACTTTCCCTGTTGAATAGGAAAATAGGAAAAGCCATGTCCTGTTGTAGCTCGAAACACAAACTTCTGTTGGATTATTCTTTATTTCACCCTTTAATCATATTCCCAGGACAATTCCCCCATCCGCCCCCAATAAACAGATAAATAAACCCAAATGAAATAAGTAAATTGTAAGTGATATAACATAGTAAATGCAGCAAAATAATGTTTAAAATGCCATCTCAATGTTTTGGGATTTCTTTTCCCATTCATCAGTGACTTAAAATCGGTTTAAAAACATGTTTGTTCATTGATCAGTGATTTGGGGAACCCAACTGTGGCAGTTGATAAACCATAATTTAAGGTTTGGAGCTTGAATAAAACCTGCCAACTATGGTTTATTCAATATAGGAAGGTTAACGAAACTACAGTTTAACATCCTGTATATGTCCAGCATATTAATTATGGCCATTTGATATCCAGTGGTTTGCCATTGGATATCCTTAAGGGAATTTTCTGTTTTTCCAGCTCAGTTGTGATATCCTGGAGGTATCTACTTAGCTTGAAAGCAGGGGTCCCCAACCCCTGGTCCGTGGACCAGCAGTGGGCCCTGGCATGCTAGCAACCAGGCTGCACAAACAAGTGAAGCCCCATCCGTGGAATGCAGGCAGCACCTGAAACTTCTCCAGTCCATGGAAAAACCTCTCTGATAATAAACAAGATTCTCCAATGTGCTGAGATGGACAGGCTAATGTATATCTTAAAAGACAAGAAAGATTCAGTATATAATAGAAGTTGGGACAGATGCTTTGTCTGGCTCAAAAGAAGGTTAAACTTAGGAGAAGGGTGATAAGATCATCTAATTAGATTAACTAGATATTTACTAGGCTTTATAACTCTTTATAATTTTGATAAAAACAGGCCAATTGTTTTGTAGTTAGTAAAAAGTACTTGATTGCATTGAAATGTTTGGCTAGGATGATATTAGTTAATATTAATTGGAGAGTGAGCTTAACTCTCGGATAGTCATGTTTGTTGTTTCGTTTTAGTCCTGTGTTTATGTGTTTTTATATTTTGCTTCCTATATTGCTTTTCAATCATTATTGTGTGTTAATTTTATTGTAAATATTTAATAAAGATTATTTTATAAAAGAAAAAAGAAAAAGAAAAACCTCTTTCCATGGAACCAGTTCCTGGTGCCCAAACGATTGGGGGCCACTGGTCTCAAGGAACCCCAGTGCTAACCAGATGGTCTGGTGCAACAAGGTTTTAGTTTTTTTCTAAACTTCTTAGTTTATTGTCCACTCACGAAGCATCCCTGGCCTGATCTCGAGTTGCCATAGGCCCGGGGTGGGGAGGTGGGAAACTGGAGAAATGGCACAGCAGCCAAAGACAGATGTTCATTCCACGCTTATCTCTCCCAAGGCTGTATCCCAGAGTTACCTACAGCAGCCGAGGGGAGTGACCTCTACAACCCGCGAAATCACTCCATTGGCAAATATGATTGATGACACACCCTGGGGGGAAGGGTGGAAAGAGGGTCATAATTGGAACATAAATTACATAGGGTCAGAGCTGGCCGACATGAAGCTCTTAATAAATAATTGGATTTCTCTTGAAGCTTGGCTGGAGACTCATAATTTAATTGGGGCATCCATCGGAACCCTGACATTTATTTTGCTTGCTCCATCTAAGCAACCATCAGAGAAAATGGAACTGAGATTCAGAAAGGTGCCCCCTCATCCCCTGATGTAAGACAGTCTGGAAGGGCTGATTTACAGGAAGCCTCTCAAGGCAGTACATATCCTTCTCGAATCCCATCAGATCATCCTTCATCCCTGAAAACATGACCAAAGACCTTGCATTAAAGCTGCCAGGACTTCCTGGGGTAGTTGGCAAGCCAAAAAAAGCAAGGTCTTGAAAACAAGGCAGAGCAGAGCAGAGCAGTTGACAGTAGCCATCTGCTAGATGGTGACAAGAGCCAAACATCCTTCAAGCCTACACTTCCTCTGCAAATGTTACGTCCCAAATCAGCTTCCACATCCTACTTCCCTCCCCTCCCCTCATCAAACGGAGACACCCAGTTCTTCAGAGGATGCTTCCTGCCCGCTCCATCTTTTCCCCTGCCTTTCTCCAAAACTAACTGTCCTTTCCAAATGACGTGAACACCAAATCCGTTCCTCATGGGGAGCATTCAGTACAGTCAGTCCAAGCTTGGAGAAACAAATGATTCTTGGCCAGGAGACAAAGTCATTCTGGACTGCCCAGATTGCTATGCAAATTGTTGTTGTTGTTATCTCAAATACCAGATTCAAGTGATCTGTTTTTCTTTCCTTCTACAGGGACTAGAGAAGAAATGGAAGGAACCATAGCATCCAGACAGGTTCCCGCTGGTCCCCTTGAATTCACCCTCTGCTTCCAGAAGAACCATCCTATTGTCTGAGCACAGGACAGACACAATCTTTTCTTTTGGACTGATTTTGCTTTCAGAACCTTTACCACTGCTCCTTCTCTTAAGAATACCGGCATCTATTCTCCCTGCCTTTTCTTCCTGCACAGATCCCAGGATTCCTCTTGGTGCCCACCTATGTCAGTCAAAATATCCACCCACAAAGAGAGAGACTATATTGGTGCAATATACAATAACTACACCTTTACTTCTTGGTTGAATCCATTGCCCCTTAGGATCTCTTGGTCTTTTATACCTGCTCTTCGGTTCTTTGCTATTTCCCATCCACCCAACAGTCCCTGTGAGGCAGTGGGCCTTTATGGCAGAGTCCTGAATTCTAAGCAAGATGGGCAGTGGAGAAAAGTTTTTTAAATAGATGTGGTTCGGGCTTTTAGGTTTATTTTCATGACTGGTCAATAGAATTTGAGACAGATGATAAGGTAGTTTAGAAGCATTCTTGCCTTGGCTAATGGCAGACATCATTCTATTCTAGGCCACAAAGCAAGATTTCCAACTTTCATTTTAAGAAATTAAATTATAGATTATTTTTACTAAAGGGTAGTAGGAGAGAGAAAAATAGATTGGCAATATTATAGGCACTAGCCAAGAGATAGCACTTTTCTCCCCTTGTCTTCTCTACATTCTGGGAGAGATCATAAGTAACATTTTGCCATCCCATCCCTTAATTTACAAATCTACATCCATCCCTCTCCACTCCATTTAAAACATTACGTCTGCCTTCACCATTGATGGTGGTGAGTTTTGCAAACGCCACAGAACCCTTCAGATTAAGCCTGTTTCTCAGAAATCTCTTTCCATGCTGCCTTCATCTGTCTGAAAGAAAGAGACAAAGCAAATTGTGGTCCCCCTCCAGCCAGAAGAAAAATGCCATTCCTTCTGTAGTGCAGACTGGTGTTCTCCCAACTCCCTCTTGCATGCTGCATGCTAATTTATTCCATTGTACTCAACACTTCTACACCTCCTTTTAGAGATGTTGTGTAGATGACCTCCCTTTGAGCCATCCAATCATTGTAGAAATATTCCCTTTCATCGGTGATTTGAAACAGAGATATTATTAATCCTTTGGGTGTTTCTGGTTGTTTTCCTAGTGCCGTGACTTCTTTTTTCAAACCAACAGTAGCTGTGGAATGGTCACTGCTTCCCAGAACCTTTGAGCCAGGGGACATGACGACCTCTCAGCTCATTCCCATTTACTATCTGCCCACCCGCCTTCAATTGGCCTTCAGGCTCCTGATTTGCATGGATCCGAATGGACAGTGGGTGGCTAAGATCTCCTCCCCCCCCCAGTGCAAACCACTTCTGACAGCCCTAGGTTTGGGAAATGCTATTTGCATTCAAACATTTTGCCTGCCTGTTTTGCTGATAATATGTTCAGTCTCCCCCATCACCCACCCATCACTCAAAGCCTCCTGGGTCTTGCTTTGATAATTGCACTACAGCTTCAAGCGATCCGGTTGGGCTTTATAGATGAGAGGGCTCTAATCTAGCAATCCAAAGAACATCCCAGGTTCCCTGATTGGCTAGCAGCTGAGAAAAGAGAGACCACCTCAACTTTTTCTTCAGTGCCTCTAAGAGTGCATGTTCATCCATGTTATCCCTAGGTATAGACCAGGGGTCTCCAACCTTGGCAACTTTTAAGATTTGTGGACTTCAACTCCCAGAGTTCCTCAGCCAGCTTTACTGGCTGAGGAACTCTGGGAGTTGAAGTCCACAAGTCTTAAAGTTGCCAAGGTTGGAGACCCCTGGTATAGGCAGTCACTTTATTGCCAGTGGTGATGGTGGAAACTGGAACTGGAGAAAGAGTAAGGTAGAAGCATTCTTGCAAACATTCTCCTTTGCATTCTCTGTGCCACAAGGAAGAATGGCAAACTCCATTTAGTCAAGTCACTACAAGATGCAATTAAGGCCATGTAGGAAATGGCCTTTTCCTCATTCAGCTTCACTTGACTCACACCTGTCCTCTCCTCTCCCTTGTGAATAATCTCCTGCTTGTCTTCCTTTTTCCCCCTTAGATCTTCTCTCTCACTCACCGACAGTTTGGCAGAATCTGCTGCCCTTGTCTTTTTTTTAGTATCTCTCTCTCTTTCTCTTTTTGCACGTGATGTCTTCTACTAAGATGGAATGTCAATAAAGAATGTTGTTATGTAAAACAAGAGTACTGAGGTCTTTAGTAGCAAGTATATATTTTTAATTAAACTCTTCCAGGTAAATGTTAAAGGGTGAAGCTCAGAGGTGGGTTTCAGCAGATTCTGACCAGTTCTGGAGAACCGGTAGTGGAAATTTTGAGTAGTTCGAGAACTGGTAAATACCACCTCTGATTGGCCCCGCCCCCATCTATTCTCTGCCTCCCAAGTCCCAGCTGATCAGGAGGAAATGGGGATTTTATAGTATCCTTCCCCTGCCATGCCCACCAAGCCACGCCCACCAAGCCATGCCATGTCCACCAAGCCACGCCCACAGAACCGGTAGTAAAAAATTTTGAATACCACCTCTGGTGAAGCTGGGTAGACATCCTATTCGAGGTGGGAAGAAAAATCAGGACATTACAGGAAAAATCAGAATCCAGCGAAGTTCAACTTCTAGAGTTTTTATTTTTATGGAATTCAAGGCAATTCCTGCTTTAGTAGAAGTTGGAACAAGAGATTTGGTGGCTACCTGTAGCAACTTTGGAAAACTGATCTTTTAATCTCCCATTTAACATTTAAGAATTTTTCCTCTTCATTTCCTGGAGATGCTTCTGAAGAAACCATTGCTGTCTAAGCCTCTTTTAATTGCAAATATCTTTTCCCCATGGCAACCAAGAAGCATAAGGGGCTCTAAGACAATTTCAGAGTCAAACAATGTGAGATGCAGAAAAACATGGACCTAGAATCCACAATGGGAGATACCTTTTATGTTCCCAAAATAATTCCTATTAGGATTATTTTATTAGGGTCACAATAAGTCCACATTCTTATGCCAAAGCCATTCATTATGATGGGTGGAGGGGAAACAAACTGAAATCTTTACGTTAGCTTTTGATAATGAATAGGAGTTTTGAGTGTTGATATACACCCATACTTTTGCTTTATAAAACAGCAGTCCATACAAAACTGCAAAAGGACATCCTACTCTACATATGAAAGGAAATGATTATTTGCACTTTTGCATTTATCCTAGATACACGTTAGAAAGTGAAAAAACATGTGTCACTTCCATTTCTCTACTCTTTGCATTTCCAGTCAAGTTCAAACAATTTTGGTTTCCAAACCATCTCAAAGGACAATTTCATGTAGAGCAGAGGTCTCCAACCTTGGTAACTTTAAGACTTTAAGATTTGTGGACTTCAGCTCCCAGAATTCCTCAGCCAGCTTTGCCCTGATGTAGAGCACTTACAGTATGGGAAGTTGCTGCAACATACCTCTCTTATGCCATGCGCCCCTTCCCTCATGAGTGACCATGTCCCTTAAAAAGAGTCCGGTTAGAGCCAGAGACGCTGATTAAAGAATAACTCCCCAGAAATGAAAGCTAAAACAGCAACTTCCATTCTGCCCCCAGAATGGAAAAGTTGGGAACAGAAGAATCTACAGTACTTCTTCTCTTGAGCCACATTCTTACTAGCATAGGAGATGCTTTTGCACATTCAGTCTAGCTAGCTAAGAAATAACAAATAAAGTGGAAATGAGGATTTTTTCCCCCTTTTTCATGCAGTTACATTTTCTTGACTTAACCAGTCCAAGGACACATGTCAAAAGCAAACAGTACCAAGCAAGCATCACAAACAAATAAAACTTAACCTGCAGGAAAATAACTTAACAGATACCAATGCAGCAAAAGGATTAGGAGTGGTAGATAAAGGCCACACAACACAGATGGGATGAGTTTTTCAGATAACCCAGACTTTCAGTGCAGTAAAACAAAGCTGGCCTTTAAGGGGAAAAACAGAAATGCAAATTCAGACTATGAAGTTTCTTAGTTGGGATTTGGTTGTACTGGCTGATCCAGGTCTAGAAGAGACATTTTCCAGGATCTGGCTTTCTGATTTACTGTCTCTTCTCTCCTTGGGATTGAAGATTCCAGGAGCAGTGGCGTCCTCCCTTGAGAGAGAGAAAGAGAGAGAAAGGGGGAGAGAGGGAGAAAAAGATTAGTTGATATCCAGTACTTTAGGTTTTAATCTTCCAAGAAACTCTGATTTTCAACCATTTTTAAGAGATACGGTTAGCTTTAAATATTGGTTGGCTTCCAACTCTTTGTGATCCATAGTTCATCTGAGATAGCTATACAGCATTCCCCATACTTCCTACTGATCTGCTGATATCCAAGATCTTCACAGGTGCTACCACCACATCTTTTTTTTTAAATTTGATTTATATGCCGCCCTTCTCCGGAGACTCAGGGCGGCTTACAATGTGCTCAGCAATAGCCTTCATCCTTTTTGTATATTTTATACAAAGTCAGCTTATTGCCCCCACAACTGGGTCCTCAATTTACCTACCTTAGAAAGGATGGAAGGCTGAGTCAACCTTGAGCCTTGGCGAGATTCGAACCTGCAGTAATTGCAGGCAGCTGGTCTTAATAACCAGCTTAATAACAGGGTGCCTTAGACCACTGTTCTACCAAGGCTCTTGGTTCTTCAGACATCTTGTCTGAAGAAACAGGCAAAAAAAAATATTCAGAGGCCAGTCCAAATGATATTGTTGCTCAACATCAGCATAAGCATGATGTTTCATCCCATGTACCAAAGATAAATTTAAAGACTGCTTTGTGCCCCTCCTTCATCAAATATTAGGAAGATGTACTGTATGATCCCAGCTCTGGTTTCCCTTATTCAGATTTATCTAAAGTTAAGTCAATTTTAGGTTTTCAAGATCTATTTGTTTTTTCCCTTTTAACCAGTTAGCTCTGTCTACTGAAGGCTAGCACAAGAGTCACCCAGGAAAGCAGACATGGCATGATAGAATGATCTGACTAGCAGTACATGAACAGATGGGAGGTTATTTTTCATGCATGCATCTTCTCACGAATTGAAGGAACTGCCAAATGATGGGTTTCCATAGCGTCTAAATTAAAGCTATCATGCAAGAGCTTCATCCTTTTTTTCCTCTTTGCAGACTTACTCTAGGAGGGAAATGATGGAGGAAGTGATAAGACAAGACAGGTGAATTTCTGGCAGTTTTTGCAAAAAAGCCTCATGTGGAACAGGTTTTATTTACTGTCTTATCAAAACATCATTTGATTTTTCCTTTGGCAACTCGAAGTGCCTACGTGGGAATCTGTCAAGCTAGGAAATTGAGGAAATCTACTTCCAAACTATTCCTAACAAAAGGTCCATGGAGTCACCAAGAGTTGAACTTGGCTCAAAAGGCATGTTGCATTTAAGATTAATGATGCTGTGTTGTTGCTTTTATTCCCTGAATTAAACCAACAAGAGTTAGAAAATCCCCTAGTGGGCTATATAATAATACTATAATACTACCAAGAGGTGTACATCAGACCCAGAACTACCTACTGCCAGCTCCATGACTCATTCATTGAAAATCCCAATCAAAATGGTTAATAAAAAAGCTTTTAGAGGTGGGAGGGACTAGGATGAAAGGGGCTACTAATTGCCTTGCTTACAGGCAGCTAATCAATTTTGCTTTCTGTTAGATCAGGGGGTGGTGTAGGCCTTCCTCGCAGGGTTGCTTTGCGTCTTGTCTGGGGTGTGGTTGGTCTGCTTGGTAGGGTCGCTGTAGGTCTCCCTTCCCGGTGGGTTGGGTGCCGACCTTGCTGGGGTGATGTGGAACTCCCTCTGTGGTTGGGTACTGGTCTACTGGCTCCTTTCGGTGGGGGTCTCCCTTCTCGGGGTGTTGTTGGCCGACCTCCCCGGGGCATTGTGGGGTGCGGCTGACCTCTGGGTTCCGGTCTACTGTCCCCCGGTTGCAGATCGGTTGGTCTCTGGGCCCGGAGTGTCGACGGCCGCCCTCACCGGGGTGTTGCGTGGTGCCCCCCATGGATGGTCCCTGGTCTACTAGCGCCGTATCTCGATCAGTGCTCACTCTGGGTGGTAGTCCTACCTCAGCGGGGTGTGGTGATTCTTCCTTGACGGGGTGTGGTAGGCCTACCTCGTCGGGGTGTTTCCGGCCTACCCTGTCTGGCTGAGGCAGGCCTACCTCTTCGGGTGTTGCAGGCCTACCTCGTCAGGTTGGTTTTCTTCCACTCCCTTCCACCTTTTCCGGAGCTGGTCGATGTGACGTCTACAGACCTGTCCATCTTCTAGCTCTACCAGATAGGACTTCGGGCCAGTTATGCTCTCGATCTTCCCCTTCAGCCATTTCGGAGAGCCGTGAAAATTCAAAGCAAAAACTCCTATGGCGAAGGTGCGAAGTTGGCGGCTGGCGGTTGCGGGTACCTCTGAGTCGTATTGAGGGTGCAGTCTGTCCAGTGGTGACCGGAGTCTTCTGCCCATCAACAGCTCCGCTGGGCATTTTCTTGTGGTGGCATGCGGGGTGATGTGTTGGGTGAGGAGGAAGTTATCAATCCGCTCCTGCCAATCACCCGTGCCCATTTTGGTGAGTGCTTCCTTGGTGAGCCTCACTATCCGTTCTGCCTGCCCATTTCCCACCGGTCTGTACGGTGCTGAGAGGGCATGGCGTATGCCCAGTCTGGCCAGGAATGCCTCCATGGCCAAGGACGTGAGTTGGGGCCCGTTATCGGAAACCAACACGTCCGGCAGTCCATGGGTGGCAAAGAGTCGGCGTAGAGCCCAGATCATCACTTCTGTTGTGGTAGATGCCATGGGTACGACCTCGAGCCACTTGGAGAAGGCGTCAGTGACGGTGAGTAGGTGGCGCCCCTGCATCGGACCTGCGAAGTCGATGTGGATCCTCGACCAGGGGCTGCTGGGGGTCTCCCATTTCGTCGGTTCGGCTTGGGGTGGCGCTGAACGTACTTCTTGGCACGGGTCACATCTGGAGACCCATTCCTCGATGTTTCTGTCCAGTGATGGCCACCAGACATAACTCCGTGCCAGGGCTTTCATGCGGACGATGCCGGGGTGTCCGTTGTGCAACGTTTCTAGCATTCTTCATTGCAGAGTGCTGGGAATCAGCACTCTGTCTCCCCATAGTAAACAATCTCTCATGGTGGACAGCTCCTTTTGCTTTCTGGCGAAGGGGCTGAATTTCTCCTCTGC